GGGGGGGGAAGGAGGGAGGGAGGGAGTCATAGGCCTGCTCTGGGCTGTCTCTACATGTTTCAAATAAATGCATGATAATGAATAGTCAGACGGGTGTGATGGATACTTCGCTCTGAGCTGCGCTTATCTATCTTGTTTCTTTTCCATCTTTTAAACGGGGTAGCCCCTAGCATCATTCTGTCATCAGGATTTGAACCAATGATCTGTTTATCAACATTCACATGTGTGGACCATTCAGCCAGGAGGGCTGAGGTAAATACTTAGTTCTTCAAAGGAGCAGCAGTACTGGAGGAGTCCTTCCCCATTGAAAGGGTTTTCACCCAGTTCGTGCGACAATCGCAGATCCCAGGGCTCCGATACCAGTGCAATCAGACTTGTCTCCATCTTGCTTCCGACATACATACATGCAGATGTCGATGGCAAAACAAATTCCTCAACACGGAATCAGCAACAAGCTTGAGATGGGGCACATCGCCCACACAGAAAACTCGGAGATATGGCCTTCGACCAGGAACCCAGCTTAAGTCAACTTGTCACATCTAGCGGCTATGGCTGCTGAGCGCTTGTCTGAATTCCCACCCGAACACTGTATCCACCATCAGGCACACTTTCACTCACACATGTACGTACTAGGATCTACCCTGAATGTCCATGCTCCTACACACACACACTCTGCACTCTATCTGTTGACGTCAGCAACCTGGCGGCTATGGCCGCCGTTGTCTTCCTCCTCCTCTAGCGGCTGTGGCTGCCCGCCCTCTTCTTCGTCGGGCACCTGCAGACCTCCAACGCACAAGTCGCATAAGCAGCGCTTCCGCATGGCTCGCAGGCGAATGAGTGAATGGCTTGGTGCTGCCTCTTTATTTATACTGTTTCGTTGGTGGTGTGGCCTGCCTCCGCTCCCAGGCCCAAGGAGTGCGCAGCCCCACCTGGTACTTGCTGACTGGACAACGTGGACTGGGACTGAGACTGGGACTGCTGACTAGACTAGGACTAGACTGTACCTTGCTGACTCAGCTGCGGACAACTGACTCCTACAGCTCCGAAGAGCCAAGTAGCGACTTCTAGAACTTCCTAGGTTTGACTGACTGACCCTTCGCTAGTACTGCTAAAACTAAGGTCTACGGGTCAAGTCCTCGTGACCCGACTATACACACAAAACCTAAACATACATTTCAAGGGACAGGTCACGGGTTCGAGGCACACCGGGTCTACGGGTAGCTGTACAGGGGGTTTAGGGGTAGGTCTAGGGATCGAGCCCTGGGATCTGGAATTGTCGCGCGAACTGGGTGAAAACCCTTTCACTCCCGCCGTCCTAAATTTGAGGTCCTCCGAACTCTTTTAGTCTAAGGCAGGACCTTTACCTTTCCTTGCCCTTTCATAAGCATCACCTATGTCGGGAGCGGTTTCCAGAAGTTCGTTTCTGGTGAACCATCTGTCGTCCTCAGGTTCTTGGTAAGCAAACCTGACTTTGTATTGCTTCTGGGGACGACCTCGACCTCCAGTTCTGAAGACATCTGCCTCTAGTATTCGGTATATGTCATATCTGCCATCCATATCGGGCGGTATCATCGACCTCCGCAATGGGAACTGTTGACTGTTGATACAAGGCAACAACTTTGATGCATGGAAGACCGGATACGTATGGAGGTGTGGTGGAATCTCTATTGTATAGGATGGTCCGTCCTCTCCACCTTTGACTTCTAGGACAGGCCACGGTCCTCTGTACTCGGGCAAGAGCTTTTGGGAGATGTTTTCCTCTGGTGCGAATTCCTTCGACTTTCCTTGAACTGTGAGGGTCTGCGATGCTTGTTCGCTTGCTCAATCATGCAATGCTGGGCCTTTCTAAGGTTTTCGATCACCCTGGCGAGCTCCTTTTCGTGCTGCAGAGCAAACTCTCTCGTACCGGGCTGAAGCCTCTGAATCCGATCCCGGTTCAGTCCTTCAAATGACCTACGTGGTCTGAAGGACTTATGCAGTTCGTTAGGAGTGCCACATGTAGCTAGGTGTACACTGTTATTATAAGCGCCAATTTACTTGGTCAGGTCTAATATACATTTTGAGTAACTGTTGCAAGATCTTATTCATTTGCTCTGTCTGGCCGTTTGTCTCTGGATGATGACCGGATGACATCAACAACTTAGAGCTGTAAACATTCATGAAATCTCGCCAGTTTTGGCTGGTAAACCGCGCGTCTCGATCACTAACTATGGACGGCGGTATCCCATGCTCACTTACCCACTCGTGGTTAATGGGTGGTGTCATTTTCAGCGAATTTTTCACCAAAACTGCCATATTTCCCTGAATTTTTGTTTTTTGAATGATATGTATGTGGTTTAGGGTATATCTGTATTCATTAACCATCTCTCCCAGAAGTTGAAAAACTTCTCTATAACTAAATCTGTTCTTGCCTCTAAAGGAAAGGTACGAAGACTGCATACTTGTCGGTCTAATATGACCATGACTTGGCTTTTGCCATGCCTACTCCTGACTCCGGTGTCCATGAAACCAATGGAAACGGACTCTCCTGGTCCTGCGGGGATAGGCAAGGGTCTGAGGAGACCTAAAGGTGCTCGTGTCGTTGTCTTGTTGCTCTGGCAAACTTTACAACCGCGAATATACTCTATGCAGTCTGCCTTCATGCCAGGACATGTATACGACATCATGAGGTTGGCCAAAGTTTTTTGCCAGCCAAAGTGTCCTTCTGTATGGCATTCCCCTAGGATCAAACTACAAATTTCTTCATTGTTGGGAAGCATAGTCTATCAACAACATTGGTCTTCTCAAAGAGTAGCCCGTTCGTGGTTGGGTAGTTTGACTAACTCTCAGGGGTTTCTTTTACTTGCTTGAGTAGGTCGCTATAGATCGGATCCTGAGCATATGCATCCTTTATCTTTGGCTGCAGGTCCACCCCTGTGTCTAAATAGTGCACTATTGCTCCAAAATAATCTGCCCTTCTGCTCAGAGCGTCGGTTACCACGTTGTACTTACCTTTAACGGGTTTAAAGTCAAAGTCAAACTGGTCTATCTCGGCTGCCCACGTAGTCAACTTGGGTGTCATCTTGGCTTGCGTCTTCAGCCATCTCAGAGTTTCATGATCTGAGTAGACTTTGAAGTGCCTCCCAAGCAGGTAATGCCTCCAATGGTCTAAGGTCTGCGTAGAGTTCTCTCTCGTATGTCGAGGCTGCTACATTTTATGCGGGCAACCTAGCTGATATGAACTCTACGGGTCTATAGTCGTTGCTGTCATCTTGCTGTAGCACAACACCTATGTCATACTAACTTGCGTTTGTAGTGACGAAAAATGGCAATGAAGGATCGACTACTTTGAGGACGGGGTACTCTACCACGGCCCTCTTCAGTTTTCTTAAGGCTGAGGTGCAATCTTGATCCCGCTTCCAAATTGCTTCCTTCTTCAGGAGTCTGCGAAGGGGAGTAGCGGTAGTTGAGAAGTTCCTCACAAACTTCCTATAATGGTTGGCCAGTCCTAAGAACGATCGCAACTCAGTCAGAGTGTGCGGAGTTGACAAGTCTCTAATCGCTGCTATCTTGCCGTCCTCTGGTCTAATGCCGTCTCCATCTAATACGTGGCCCAAGTAAAGAACTTACGTCTTGGCCACTCGCACTTCTTCACGTTGATCTTGAAGTTAGCTTCTCTCAACTTCTCCAAGATCTGCCTCATATGGCCCTCATGCTCTTAGAGGGTCTTGCTGAAAACTAAAATATTGTACGGTCTTCATCGCGGTGAGATTCAAGGAAGAAAAAAACATACAAGCGGTCTCTCTCTCTCTCTCTCTCTCTCTCTCTCTCTCTCTCACCTTAATCCGAAAAGTTGCGAAAACAGAAACACAAAAACAAAGGAAACCTAC